TCAATGCGCCGCCTGTTCGGAAAGGATTCCCCGTGACATGAGCGAGCGTCACTACGCGAAGCATGCCGGCCATACCTATCGGGTTGATATCGATCTGTACGACGAAACTACTGCCACGGCGATTGTAATCCGCTCCATGAAAGTGCAGCGGCAAGTGACGATCTACTGCGACAAATGCAACGTGCCTAAGAAATCGGCTTTCAGATTAGTATTCCACCGGTTGGTTTGGCAAACACGACCAGTACTCGCACTGTCTGGTTCTGCAGAATAATGAGAAGAAGCTGGAGCAGACAAAACTGATATCCGGCAGCTTGGGTGGATCCTTCCAGTTCCGCTACGGAGGAGTGAATGTATACCAGCATACCGAGTATGGCCGGGTTCTGTTTGGCGTCTAACAACGATGTCTATGTCTTCTCGGTCGCGAATGACTGTGACTTAGGCTTCTAGCATGGACTGAAGAAATCTGTAGCAACAATTGCAACAAGCGCGAGTCATTGACAGCTCAACATCGTTTACTTGTAAGCAAATGTTAACCCGATGTGTTCATCCCTAATCATTTTGGCCTATGGTCTTTCATTATACAAAAGAAGCGATATAATGACATGCTGTTTGACAACAGGCTCTCCCTTTCAATTTTCGTTAGAGAAAAAGAGATAACAGGCGGTACCCCCTAGTTTAATCTAGTACATATGAGTAGATAGTGTTGCCGTGAGGTACACTCGAAAATTGTAAATGTAAGTGCGTCAAATCAAATTTCGAGCCGCTCCGTCTGTCACTTCGTTTGTGGTTTTAACTGCCATCTTCAACAGATGCTTGGAGCTGCACTACTTTCCAAGCATCTGGAAGATAGCAAAAATAATACCGATCCGCAAACCCGGTAAAGATCCAGCATTGCCGTCAAGCTACAGACCGGTCAGCCTCCTTTCAGCGCTGAGCAAATTGTTCGAGAAACTCATTCTCAATAGATTGCTCAAGTTTGTGGAGGAAAACAATATTCTCCTGTGAAGTAATGAAATTGGGTTGTTAGCGGAATGCTAAATAAAACAGCAAAAAAGGTTATCTTCCATTTAATTCCACTTAATTAATTTTGGTATCCATGACAGATACGTATTTCGACTACAATGTGCAGTCTTCATCAGTGTCATTCCCACTAAAGAACTTATCAAAATCTAACCCCCTTAAGTACTCATCCCCTAGGTAAAAAAGTCAAGATCATAGGTATAAAAATGAAACTACAATGTGTTGAATCGGAACCTACCTAACTAATAAAAACCAAAGATTTAAGCAAGCTAAAGGAGAAAAATCTATACAAATCTCTAATAAGGAAAATCCCAAAGGCTACTCCTACCGGAACAGTTTTGGTTCAGGAAGGGGCACTCCACCACTCATCAACTAGTACGGGTGATGAACAACATTCGAAGTAACAAGGCTGTATCCAAGTCCACAGCCATGGCCTTGCTAGACGTCGAAAAGGCGTTTGACAATGTCTGGCATGACGGACTTATATACAAGCTTTGTAACTACAATTTACCGTTGCATTTGGTCAAAATTACCCGTAACTACCTTCAGCAAAGGTCGTTCAAGGTATCGTTGAATGGTTGTCTCTCCGACAAATTTTCCATTCCGGCAGGCATTCCGCAAGGCAGTTTGTTGGGCCCCTTGCTCTACAGCTTGTATACTTCTGACATTCCTCCCCTCGGAGACGGTTGCGTGTTCTTCCTGTTCGCAGATGATACCGCGATATCAGTCAAGGGCAGAATGCCTCGTGAAATTACAAACAAACTACAACGATGCCTTGACACCTTTGCTGACTATGCAAAAACTTGAAAAATCAAAATCAATGCCTCCAAAACCCAAACTATCATGTTCCTCCATAGACAATCACCCAAACTGATACCGGCACCTTCTTGCACAGTAGTCATGGATGGCACAAGGGTTGAGTGGTCTGCTGAAGTTACGTACCTTGGAATGGTATTCGATGAGAAGCTCCTGTTCCGCTCGCATATAGAAAAGACGGTAGTTATAAGTAGTTTCCCTTTTCCAATTTAAAACAAAACAATCCCACCAAGGTGGTCACTCTTAAGAACAGGCCTGGTAGGACTAGAAACTTTAAATAATAATTAAAAATGTCAATGAACTAAAGTTGAAAAGACGCATCTGTGTCACTTGTTAATTCATACATGTAAAACCACACAAATACCAGATATAAAGATCATTTAAAGTGCAAGTGCGTTATGGAACCATTAGTTTGTCACTTCAAGCAGCACTTGAGCGAAGCCCAGCATGGTTTCATGGCAGGGTGGTCGACTACTTCCAACCTTCTGTGTCTCACCTCGTACATTACGGTGAGTATGACAGACCATATGCATACAGATGTCATCTACACTGACCTATCAGTCGCCTTCGACAAGTTGAACCATCCTACAGCGATCGCCAAACTGGATAGGCTCGGTATAAACGGCAGTTTCCTACGATGGTTCGCATCCTATCTATCTGATCGTCAGTTGGAAGTTGCAATCGACGACTGCCGATCTCCTTCGTTCCCTGCCACTTCGGGTATTCCGCAAGGTAGCCACCTCGGCTCGTTGATATTTCTTGTGTATTTCAACGACGTCAATTTCGTCCTCGACGGTCCACGTCTATCTCCGAATCCGAGCCATCGCTGACTGCCACCTTCTCCAACTCCAACTCAACGCTTGCTAATTGGTGCCAACTGAACCACATGGTTGTAAATCCAACAAAATGTTCAGTAATCACGTTCTCACGGAAGAAACATCCAATTACATTCAGTTATATCCTAGAAGACGTTGACGTTCATCGTGTGAATCACATTAAGGACCTGGGAGTCATCTTAGATTGTCAAGTCACATACAGCCAGCATATCTCGTACGTGATCGACAAGGCATCCAGAAGGCTCGGCTTTATTTTCAGGATAGCTAAAAGTTTCACGGACATCTACTGTTGGAAGTCGCTTTACTGCTCCCTCGTCCGGTCGGTGTTAGAATACTGCTGCCCTGTATGGAATCCCAATTACCAATTCAACGACGATTCATCTGGTTTGCCCTTCGACGATTACCTTGGAGGGATCCTCATCGCCTTCCAAGCTACGAAAGTCGGTGCCAGTTAATTCACCTGGATCCTTTGTGTAGTCGAAGAGATACGACAAGGGCCCTGTTTGTGGTAGACGTTCTACATGGCAGAATCGGTTGTCCTTCTATTCTACAACAAATCGACGTTAACGTTCAACCACGAGCACTCCGTAACAACGCAATGCTGAGGATACCTTTTCGTCGTACAAACTATAGTTCGTATGGTGCTATTAATGAGCTACAAAGGGTTTTCAATCGTGTTGCTTCCTTATTTGATTTTCACTTGGCACGCAAGACGCTGCGTCAGAGATTCCGTGATATATTTTTAAGAATTAGGAATTAAGTTGGATTTCACGGCCTTTGCAGCTTGTTACTTCTTGACTATATTGTATTTCCTAGTATTGCTTAATCCATCATTAGGACTAAACCCAGTCTGTTGATGTAGAACCAAATAAACAAATATCATAATTGGGAATTGTACCACAAAATCACATGAACCTTATGTGTCAAATGAAATTTCAGAGATTTATCATATCTAGATAGAGCTGGAATTAGGGCGTAACAGCCTCGAGGCATGCCCACGCAAACCAACATAACCGTTGGGTAGGAAAACTCTTCCCCTACCCGATGGTGTTGTTGATTTGCGTTGGCAAGCCTTAACTTTCTAGAAATCATCAAAAGAAGTAATTGTTTACAAAAGTTGTTACGCCCTAATTCCAGCTCTATCTAGATATAGAACGCATGTGATCACATGAATGTTATGTGAAATCGAGATAGATATCATTGGTTTGGTTAATGAAAAAATATTATGTGCATTCTCAATGGAAACTACATGTAAACTTTTTCCGTGTACGTTCAGACTATGGCTGATATCATGTAATATAAGCTGTCTTGCAATGGGCACTCATAGTCAAAATTCACTGGAAATCATTTGTATGAATGTTGATATCAAGATATCAACTATAGTCTGAACGTACTATAAAGGAATTCTCTGGAAAATTTGGAAATTTCCAAATGAATCTAAGATTATAGGATTACTTTGAAGGGTATGCCGTGAATATTCTAAGAAATATTTTAAAGAAATTAACTTAAGCAAATTCTAAGGAGAGTTATTAGGGATAAGAAATTAATGATGGAGTTTTCTAGGGAGAAACCCAAGAATATTTTAGGCGAATTCTGAAATGCGCTCTTAGTAAATTTTAGAATGATTTTAAGGAAATTCTAAAGAAAATCCGAATGTAGGATAAATGGATGTAATGTCGGCCTAAATGCCCCTAATTTGGGCCCATACAAAAATTCAGCAATCAACTAAATTTTCAATAGCGACCAAAAATATCCATTAGTACCGGCGCGTTCATCTAGATAAAATTGATAAATAGCATTTTTTAGCGATGGACCTAATCTTAGATCCATAGACCAACATTAGAGCCATTTCCCCTATTTCAAGATTCCATGTACACATTTAGTTAATGATTCGGAAATTTAGTTCTTATGCTTGCACATTTTTTAGTTCCTCCTTTATTTAAAATCTGAACGATTCGAAACGTATTCGAAATTCTGGACACAAAAAAATAATATCTTGAACATTGATGTTTTAATATAGCTTTCCAGAGCATTAAGTTTTTCTCGCTGGTGTCACCCCTCCAAGGATGCCATCCGGGGTGGACCCTCCCTCGCTTATACCACGCAACGCCTCTGGCTAAAGCGTTTTTACGAGGTCCAGAAGGTGACTCAAACGAATTTTAAACTAATGGACCGATGGCTATTGAACGAATGTCTCTTGCTCACCAATGCTTGAATACCAAATTAGAGAGAGATCCGTACGACAGCCATCGGTTAATTGTTTAATCATTAAAGTGCGTTTCGCTCAACGCCGCACCGGTGTTTCGGATGAGGAAGCTCCGCGGATAATTTTTGTTAGAATACAATTTTATTGCCATTACAAGCAAGTTACGTTACAGATTTAGCGAACAAATCGACTTACCTACTCGAAGAAAAAAGAAAAAAAAAAACGGCCATCTAATCCCACGTCGCACCCCTTACGCATAGTAGTTAAGATTGGCCTTCTTCTTCGCCTGCACCTCCATGATGGCATCCATAAAGTCCTCATGGGTAACGGCCACCGCCGAACGTCGCAGCGCAATCATACCGGCCTCGACGCACACCGCCTTGCACTGCGCCCCGTTGAAGTCGTCAGTCGAACGGGCTAGTTCCTCAAAGTTCACATCCGGGCTGACGTTCATCTTGCGCGAGTGGATCTGCATGATACGGGCACGGGCTTCCTCATTCGGATGGGGGAACTCGATCTTACGGTCCAGACGACCGGAACGGAGCAGAGCCGGATCCAAAATGTCAACACGATTCGTCGCCGCGATGACCTTGATGTCCGCCGTGGAACTGAATCCATCCAGCTGGTTCAACAGTTCCAACATGGTACGCTGGACTTCACGATCACCAGCCTTTTCCGAATCGAAACGCTTGGTACCGATGGCATCCAACTCGTCGATAAAGATGATTGCCGGAGATTTTTCCTTGGCCAGAGCGAAAGCATCCCGCACCAGCTTGGCACCGTCACCGATAAACATCTGCACCAACTGGGGACCAGCCAGCTTGAGGAAAGTAGACTTGGTCTGGGCAGCGCAAGCTCGAGCTAACAGCGTCTTACCGGTTCCTGTTCATAAAGAAAATATATTATTAAATTTCAATCAAACGAAAATTAAAAATAAGTTCCTCACCAGGAGGTCCATACAGCAGGACACCCTTCGGGGGGTGAATTCCCAGATTCTTGAACTTTTCTTTGTGCGTCATCGGCAGGACAACGGCTTCAATCAGTTCTTGAATTTGTTTGTCCAGACCACCGATGTCCGAGTACTGTTCAGTCGGTCGCTCGTCCACCTCCATGGCCTTAACCCTAGCATCGTACTCGGCCGGAAGTGTTTCCAAGATCAGATACGAGTCCTTATTCACACCCACCAAATCGCCCGGTTTCAACTTCTCCGGATCGACCAATCCAATGACCGGCAAAAAGTACGTCTGTCTGGTGGAAGTCTTGATTACGGCGCACTTGCCCTTCCGCTGAGAATCCAGTACCACCACCGCTCCGTCATCCTCCTCCTCCTGCGGGTCGACGTCCAGCAGTTCGATCACATTGGACACCAAGTACGGGAGCGTTTTGTTCACCTTGATCTTTTCCGTATTGTCCTTAATCTTCTCGTTCATCGTCTGCAGCTCGTGGGTAATTCGCATCACTTCGCTCTTCATGATTTTGATTTCATTGTCCATCAGACGAGTTCGGCTGACGATTTCATCGGTGGGCATACGCAGTACTTCCTCGCCCAGTGTTTCCTCTCCATCTTCCCAGATGGACTTGTCCTCCAATGTTCCGGCCATTGTAATTGCAAAGTGGACTACTTACTTACTTTTCCTGCCGGTTATAGGTGGTTCCGGAACAATTTTCCAAGGTTTTTCACGATATAATTGCAGGGAATTATTGGACACAAAACAATCCTGTTGCGAATGTTGATGATGACTTTCGGAAAATGCTTCTCCCGTTGGTCGCGCTGTCAAATAGCTCGCATGATGTGCTACCTTCGGGTTCGGTCTCCGCCGGTCAAAATGGGCTACCGGTAAAATGCGCTACTTTCGTAGAACGGTATGTTTGAACCTGGTCGAATGAAGATATCCGGGAAAATTATTCCATTGCTAGCAGTTACAAAATGTTAAGGCTATCTCAGGGGGAACGACACATTCTCCACATCCATCGTTATCCCACATCAATTTTATCAAACAATCCGCAATCTCATCCACATAAACGATGACAAATTTCAGATTTTTTATCTATTCCATTCCATTCCTATATCCCTGTCTATATTTTTGCAAGATATCCTGAACAAGCCTGTTTATCTTTCTGTTCCTATCTTTTATGCCACGGATACACTTGTATGACCAATTATGAACATGAGCATTATTTGTATAATAAGTTATAAGCGCATCTATGGTCACACTTCCCTAATAAAAATTGTATGGTTAATTTGCTTAACGACGTGTTCTGGGTATCATCCAAATCATTTGTGGAATAGTTCAATGATTTGGGTTATCGTTCGTTTATGGTTATTTTTTTATTAGGGTTGTATAGTTTTTGTATGTGTAGTTCTTGTATAGTGCTCATAATTTTTTTTTATATCATGCGTTCATGCGTTTATTTTTCCAGGCTCATTTGCTGTAGTTTTGCAGAGCCGATATTCATTGTTTAGATTACAAAATTACTTAAAACTAACGTTAGTAAAGTGAGGGCCGATTACTCGCGGCTATCTCGAGGTTAGGGGTAGCAAATTGTAACAAATGGATGGCAGGGTAGGGATTGTGAACACAAGGTTTGGAGAGCAATGTGCTTTTGATCTCGAACTAAGTGACACTCTGATGAAAAAGACAAACATGGGGGTACACCGATGGGCAGCTAACAACTTGTGAGAACACAAGATGACACTAACTACTAAATCCTCAGATCTATCCGTTTTAAAAACACATAAATTAAATTCAAATAGTCGAGGTCTCGGCTCGCCAAGACATCTCTAACGGGTATCGCGGGTTGTTTTCCTCGGGCCCTGAGGGATGTGGATAACTCAGATCTGGCAACACGGTGCAAGGTACATGACCAAACAACATGCTCGATATCGTGATAACCACTACCCACGCCCATAAATTGCTGCCTGAGAGTCCAATCCGATAGAAGTGCGAGTCTAACGAGCAGTGATTGGACATAAGCCTTGATATAACGCGTATAAAGTCGTGGCTCATGTCATGTGGCCAACCCTTTGAACAATTTTTTGTTCGACACCTGTGGGAGAATAGAATGTATCCATCTTCCCAATTCACCATCATTCCATTTTTGTTGCAAACTGATGAGGACTTGCTGACGAGCAATGGAGAAAAAAAAATCGTTGAAGGCAATTTGTCGCTCAAAAATATCGCCTTCCATAGCGCCAACCTTAGCCAACGAGTCCGCTTTCTCATTACCCGGAATTGAGCAATGAGATGGGACCCAAGCTAAGGTGATAGTATAGGAGCAGTTCGATAAAGCACTCAGTTTAGATCGTATTTCAGTTTTCTCCGGAGAGAATTCTATACCCAGCTTCATAGCCCAAGTAGACAAATTGTCTAAGGTATCTTGCAATGGTCCTTGCAGGTCCGGTGCACTTGGCCCTTTAACGGACACAACGCCGTCATCTGCAAGCTGCCTTAGCGAGCAATTTTCATCAAGACAACCATCAATGTCTTTTACATAAAAATTATAAAGAAGGGGGCTTAAACATGAGCCCTGGGGGAGACCCATGTAACTAATTCGTGAAGTTGTCGAGTTTCCATGAGAAAAGCTCATATATTTCTCAGACAACAAGTTGCTCAAATAGTTTTTTATAACTGGAGAACGCCCACTATCGTGGGAGTGCTCATAATTGGTATACAAATAATGGTTATGCTCATAGTTTGTCATCCAAGTGTATCCGTGGCATTATTTCTATTCCGTTCGCTTGCCATAGCAGTACTGCCAAGTCTGTTTTGAAATAAAATGCATCTAAATGAGTGTCATTCCCCCTGGACTATCTTGATGATGTTTTTTTGGTTGACAATTCTTAAAACAACCTTTGACTTTGGCTGAAATCTTTGGCTTGTATAAGTAATTTAAACGCTGACAACAAATTACCGGACTGAACTTTTCCATATAAAACGAGTTTTCAGAACGAAATATTCCTGTTCCCAGATAAAATCTCAATTTATATTTATATAATTATACAAACGAGACACATAAGTAGTATTTTTTTTTAGTTTTGAATTATTATTTTCCAAACAGAAAATATAATCACAATGCATGGGGTGTTCTTCAAAGATAGATATGAACAGACCAAATGATCAATCAAATTAAAAATGTTCCGACATTTCAAACCGATCGGGTTTGTTCATCTGGTTTTGGAAGTAGCAGACTTACATAATTTAGCTCATTTGGAGATGAAAAACAAGACGTACCTATTTCCGAGGTTTGGTAACGTTATTTTTTGATAATGAGTTTGATCAGTTGATTATGGTTGAGCTGAGTTGTGCGGAGGCGATCACTTTAAATTTTTAAGTTATTTAGCTTGATAATTATTCATTCTCTCGCAATTGTTTACATCCTTTCAATACCTGAGAACTCGTTCTTGACTTTCCCATTATTTGTTTACAATTGCTTGATTGACCCAATATTTTGTCAAACGGTCGAGTATGCTTTTGCTGCTTTCCCTCAGATCCGTTTATTTTGATGTTTAAGTTTTCTTTGCTGAGGATATTTACAAGCATTAGTTATTATTGCAATGAATCAATCGTTCTTTTTCATTAGTAAGAAAACTATAGTATTGATAGAGTATTGATCCCAATACTTTATCTTTCGAACCAATTTGTTTAAGGGACGTAAGCCTTGGTGTTGGTCCTGTTCGCTGGATTTTTTTTGGCAACCATTTTGAGTGACACTCGTGGTTGGGTTGGTTGGTCGATCGGTCAGATGATTAAATCGACCAGTAAGTTGACTGATTGGTTGGATAGACGATCGAATCAGGCTCTATTAGAGCTTTGTACTCGTTGAAGCTTTGAAGTACCTCTGTTTTTGACCGAAGAAAATACACGATCAACTTGCAGTTTGCATCGTCGATAAGTGACAGAAAATATCAACTTCTTCGATCGATACCTCCTCCATCAGACCACACAGGTCCACGTGGAACAGCACCAGCACCTCAGTTGCACAAGTGCCCTCGTTGTTGAACGCCTGTCGTAAGTGTTTCCCTTCCAAGCAGTTGACACAAGCAGGAATCTTTCCGTTACCAAAATCAACTCCATCTGCCAACCTTCGGAGCTTCATCAAACTCGTTTAGATGGCCCATTCTCCGATACCACCGAATGATGTCATCCTTCGACTTGCCAGCGTAAGAAATTGACTTGTTGGTCAAACACAACTTGCATTGACTACTCGTCTGCTGACCAACGCTGCTGCCGCTGCTGCAATCAACTCGCCACTAATGGACCACACCTCACATGCATCCTTTGTGAACTGAACACTGTAGCCCTTATTGCACGTCCTACTGACCGAAAGAAGGTTGATCGTAATATCCAGAACGCACAATACATCGGACATCGTCAAGTCGTAGGACTCTCCTCCAATGTCTGCTTATAGCTCACGCGCTGTGACGTTTCCTGCACATTCAGCAAAAATGGCAAAAATTTCTTGCACCTGTAGCACTGGATCTTGGGTTTGTCAGTCTTCTTCATACCACCAGTCGCATTCTTCTTGCTGTCGCAAGCTTCTTCCTTGCTACCTCCCACCGAAACGCCGCCGATATTCACATCCTGGAGGATTTTTGCCTTCAGTGCATCCGCCGCAATACGCATTCCCGATGCTTCCAAGCCCACAATCATTGGTTCGTACGTCTCTGGCAATCCCAGCAACAGCAGACATGCTAGCCATGTGTCATCGACCGAAAAACCAACTTCGATTAATTTGTGGCTTGTCGTCATGAGTGCGCTTGTCAACTTCTGCAGCAATCCTATTCGTTGCGTCATTCCATCATCCCGAAAAGCATCCTGCAGGTTCTTCCAAGCTTGCTATGCTGAAGCATACCATCGCCAATCCTCGCTGTGAAACTGCGTCCTCCGGATCCTGCTCCTGCCGTGTAGCTGCGTCTCATGTGCCTTCCCGAATCAACGGCATCCTGGTGGAAAAGGCGCCCACGTCGAGTAGTTCTCTCAGCCACACAACCTGTCCACTACTGACAGCAAAATACTTCCTCCAACTGCACCGATTATTTCTTCCGCCTGGCTCCCGAGTGAGCCTCCACCCGTTGACATTTCAGAACTTGAAACTCGCGGAAAAACTCGAACTCAAAATTCGCAAAGAAACTCAAACTCGAAACTGTCGACGGAGTACAGGCATAGAGGTAACTCTAAGACCACTGGGTCCCGAAGAAAATCATTATTATTTTTGGCACACTCAGTACCAGAACAACGGTCCCAAGCAGTCCCAAGCTATTTCACTCACCCCTGCATGTTCTGCATGAATCCACACACCCCTGATGTTATCTGTCAAACTTTCATAGCGAATCAAAACAAACAAAGTGTAGTAATAGAATTTCAACTAGAATAGGGTACGTTAATCGTTTGCTTGGGGCCAATAGGCTACTAAAGTGGTGAGCCAATTTAAAATCGTTAGTTTCGTATTGATTGTTGGTACAGGTCAATGCAGCGGAACACCATCAAAGGATTTCGGATCGTTTGAGGAGAAAATTACACGCGAGATCTAACGATTACAACGGGACTTTATTATCGAGATAAAGAACACGTCACACGCGGTAGCGAACTTTTAACTAATGAGGTTCTCTCTCTCTACCGTCGCGCATACGACAACAAAGTGTATGTGCACAGAAGGTGTACGCAGTAGGGCTGGGTAAAAGCACAAGGTATACTTACGAAGAGGTCATCATTGTACCTTTCCACACTCCCCCTCAATGTGAAATCTCTTCATTTGAACAGTCCTCGTAGAGTCCAAGCAGCTCACAGAACTCCCGATTCTTCACAGGACCCAACGGCTTTGTCAAAATATCGGCTTGCATCTTGTCTGTTGAGCAGTACTCCAGTTGAACTTCCCCACGAACACACAATTCCTGTATGAAACGTTCCTTCGTATCGATGTGTTTTGATCTTCTGCTTACTCGATCAGAACGCACGAATGCCAAACATCCCTGATTATCCTCCATGACGATCGTTGGTTGATTCTGAGACTCATCCAGGTCACGAAGGAGCTGCCTGAGCCATAGTGCCTCCTGACAAGTTTCACTTAGCGCCGCATACTCACCCTCAATCGACGATAGGCTCACGCATGATTGGCGACGGCTGGCCCACATTATGCAACCTCCTCCGTACTTGAACAGTATACCGGATGTCGATCGACGACTCTTGACATCACCGGCCCAGTCGGCATCCGAGAAGCCAGTCAGGCTCTGCTGTTGATCTCCACCAAGCTGTAACTGATAGCACTTCGTAGCCTTCAGATAGCGGAGCACACTTTTCGCCGTCGTCCAGTCGCAGTCACGAGGAGCACTGAATCTTCTTCCCAATATCGCTGCACTTGCTGCAATGTCTGGCCGAGCAACGACAGCCAAATAAAGCAGCCCACCAACCAAACTACGGTAGTTAGTAGGATCTTCGAACGGTTCACCAGCTTCAATCATCTTCACATACCCGGGGTCCATCGGTGACTTGGCCGCTTAGCACTGTTCCATACTGAACAATTTGAGTAGTTTGTCAATGTAGTTTCGTAGACCTATTTTGAACGCATTCCCTTCACGCTTAACTTCCACTCCAAGAAAATGCCTCACTTCTCCCAGAGATGTCAGTTCGAATTCTGCTTTAAGCTTATCACAAACCTTTTCAATTTCCGACTCGTCGGTAGACGCAATCAGCAGATCGTCAACATACACTATTAGAAACACTTTCGCGTTCCCGATGTCTCTAACGTATAGGCACTGATCCGCTACAGCTGCATTGAATCCATTCTTCACCAAAGCTTCATCCAGTCGTCGGTTCCAGCATCGTGCTGACTGACGCAGACCGTAGATACTACGTTGTAGGCGGCACCCCGAATAGAAATTGTAATGTAGAAAACATCAGCAGACATCTTCAATACATTAAATTTTAACGTATATTGCTGTACCCTTAATGTATTCAGACTTCAGTGTGACGTCCAAGTACATAAAAATACATTAGCCTTTAACGTTACATCAGAATCAAACGTCTTGACGATGTAAAATTTGACATCAGAATACATCCAATAACAACAGAACCTAACGTTACATTAGAATCAAACTTCATAACGATGTAATTTGTTGCACGCATAAAACATCAGAATACATCCAATGACAACAGAACCTAACGTTACATAAGAATCAAACTTCATCACGATGTAATTTGTTGCACGCATAAAACATCAGAATACATCCAATGACAACAGAACCTAACGTTACATTAGAATCAAACTTCATCACGATGTAAATTGTTGCACGCATAAAACATTAGAATACATCCTATGACACAACAATAAAAAGTGGCTTGCAGTGCAGTGATGCCTCCTATGCATAGTTTTGTGACATTATCAATTGCATATAAAATTGAACTCTTTAGAAGAGTGGAAACGCTAATAAAAGTGCACTTAGACGTTGTATCGTCTTGACGCCTTCAGCGCACTTATTCTTCATTCACCAAGGAATAAGTGCGATGAAGACACAACAACAATTTAACGTAAAACCGCACTTTTATTAGTGTTTCCGCATTCATAATCTCATAAATGTGCCCAAATCGCAATCCTCGACGCAATCATATAAAATAGCACATTGCGATTACAAGGTAGAGCTTACCACCATTAACTCTTGCACGACTGACATAGCCTCAAATCACTGAAAGAAATTTTGGCATGCCCTGTGGGCAATGTTTATTTGTAAGTAAAACAAATGCCCTGGTGACGTTGCAGTGCAAGAGTTAATTAGTGTTTTAATTGATTATTATCGTTTCAATTGAAAACCGATTTTACTTTTGTTCTGTACGTTAAACATAACGTTGGCCATAGTGTGCTGTATACCGCTTCCGTGTACGAATACAGCACACTATGTCCGACGTTATGTTTAACGTATATACAGAACGTTTTCAACGAGGTTTTCATTTGAAACGATAATATTAATTCCAAGGCAAACGAAGAAAATCATCTGGCCACCCTGCATGCATCTGGTTATAGTCCATTCCTCGGTCCATTCTATGCGCTCGAGTATTGATGGTCCGAATGTGAGGATAACAATAACAAACCAGCATATCTGGCTGAAGCGAAAGTGAGGATAACAAACTTCGCACTTGAAAATGGGATTGCGCAAGTGTGCGTGTTTTGAACGACAGAAAGGTCAATGTCGTTCTCATTTTGAAGTAAAGCTCTCATTAGCGTATACCAAAATTATTCAGGATGTAGGTGTCAGATGGACGTTCCAATACAAACCACTGATGTTGACCTGTCAATGACTCGCGTTATTTGGCGTTTATTAGCTGAATCGCAAAAAGAAAACTAGAGTCCCTGAGGCCCTCGACTCATGCAAAGTTTGTTTTGTCCTGAGTCAGCACTACACGGCGAATGAGAATGACCCTAATTTGAGTTTAGTTCACTCATAAATCGCAAAAAGTACAGGAACTCAGTTTTGAGTTAATTTCCCTCTGTTTTTTCCAGGATTTCCAGGTTTTTCCAGGAAAATTTGTCCGAATATTAGAAAAGTAAAGATTGGATTCTGTGGATTTTCGTCAATCCTAATTTTCCGTAAGATTTTTGAGGTTTCCACAGGAAAACATGAGGCAAATTTACTCATCGCTGCGTTCCTGCACTTTTTGCGATTTTGAGTACACTGTATTCAAATTTGGGTTGATCACATTGGCCGTGTACAGTTTTTTTTCGCGGTGTTAAAAGATCGATTTCGATCGAATTAGTCCGGGAAAGTGCCGTTGTGTCCGTCGCGAGTTTTGGTGGCGATTCGGTGTCCGACGTTGCGGTTAATCAGCAAGTTTTCCGCTTGCTGGCTGCTGGTCTCACCCTAGGAAAAGGAAGGCTGTTTTTCAGGTATGTGGGCTGTTTTTGAGGTGAATTAATGTAATGTAATTATGTTTTTTTTTTAGATAAGTGCACCAGTCCGGAGCCACATACCGGTAGCGAGTCCGAAGCTGGATCCCGGCGGGGAGTTCGAAGTTCTCTTTGCAGGTTAGTGAGTGTGTTTACTGTTTATTTGTTTTGATTGACGAATAAATAAATACTAAAAGCTACGGATCCCGATGACGGGTTCCGTAGGTGGATCCCGATGACGGGTTCCGTAAACGGATCCCGATAACGGGTTCCGTAGACGGATCCCGATGACGGGTTCCATAGACAGATCCCGATGGGGAAACCGAATACGGATCCCGATGGGGAAACCGAATACGGATCCTGAATACGGATCCCGATGGGGAAACCAAATACGGATCCCGATGGGTATTCCGTAGACGGATCCCGATGGGGAAACCGAATACGGATCCCGATGGGGAAACCGAATACGGATCCCGATGGGGAAACCAAATACGGATCCCGATGGGGATTCCGTAGACGGATCCCGATGGGGATTCCGTAGACGGATCCCGATGGGGAAACCGAATACGAATCCCGTTGGGGAAACCGAATACGGATCTTGATTGGGAAACTGAATACGTATCCTGATGGGGAAACCGAATACGGATCCCGATGGGGAAACCAAATACGGATCCCGATGGGTATTCCGTAGACGGATCCCGATGGGGAAACCGAATACGGATCCCGATGGGGAAACCTAATACGGATCCCGATGGGGAAACCAAATACGGATCCCGATGGGTATTCCGTAGACGGATCCCGATGGGGAAACCGAATACGGATCCCGATGGGTATTCCGTAGACGGATCCCGATGGGGAAACCGAATACGGATCCCGATGGGGAAACCGAATACGGATCCCGATGGGGAAACCGAATACGGATCTTGATGGGGAAACTGAATACGTATCCTGATGGGGAAACCGAATACGGGTCTTGATGGGGATTCCGTAGACGGATCCCGATGGGGAAACCGAATACGGATCCCGATGGGGAAACCTAATACGGATCCCGATGGGGAAACCAAATACGGATCCCGATGGGTATTCCGTAGACGGATCCCGATGGGGAAACCGAATACGGATCCCGATGGGGAAACCGAATACGGATCCCGATGGGGAAACCGAATACGGATCTTGATGGGGAAACTGAATACGTATCCTGATGGGGAAACCGAATACGGGTCTTGATGGGGATTCCGTAGACGGATCCCGATGGGGAAACCGAATACGGATCCCGATGGGGAAACCTAATACGGGTCTTGATGGGGATTCCGTAGTCGGATCCCTATGGGGAAACCGAATATGAATCCCGATGGGGAAATCGAATACGGATCCCGATTGGGATTCTGTTGATGGATCCCGATGGGGAAACCGAATACGGATCCCGATGGGGAAACCAAATACGGATCCCGATGGGGATTCCGTAGACGGATCCCGATGGGGAAACCGAATACGGATCCCGATGGGGAAACCGAATACCGATCTTGATGGGGAAACTGAATACGTATCCTGATAGGGAAACCGAATACGGGTCTTGATGGGGATTCCGTAGACGGATCCCGATGGGGAAACTGAATACGTATCCTGATGGGGAAACCGAATACGGATCCCGATTGGGATTCTGTAGATGGATCCCGATGGGGAAACCGAATACGGGTCTTGATGGGGAAACCGAATACGGGTCTTGATGGGGATTTCGTAGACAGATCCCGATGGGGAAACCGAATACGGATCCCGATGGGGAAACCGAATACGGGTCCCAATGGGGAAACCGAATACGGATTCCGATTGGGATACCGTAGACGGATCCCGATGGGGAAACCGAATACGTATCTCGATGGGGAAACCGAATACGGGTCTTGATAGGGAAACCGAATACGGGTCTTGATGGGGATTCCGTAGACGGATCCCGATGGGGAAACCGAATACGGATCCCGATGGGGAAACCGAATACGGGTCTTGATGGGGATTCCGTAGACGGATCCCGATGGGAAAACCGAATACGGGTCCCGATGGGGAAACCGCATACGGGTCTTGATGGGGATTCCTGTACACTGATAAAATTTCAAAGATTGTTTCTATATGTCCTACTTTTGCAATACAAATTATATCTATGTGTCGGACACATACTGAATATGTGCACACATAAAAGCCATGTGTAACCACGCATACTATTCATTTGACTCATAAATTTCATGTGTGCTTCTGGGTGAATTCTGTTTATGTGTGGTTACATGTAAATCATGTGGAATTTTACATGGGAATTCTTCAATAAAAATGTGTGGAATTCTATTATTCTTCTTTCCTTTAGATAACGTCGGTCTCTGTTCCGCAATCTAGTGCCAATCACCAACGGACATCGATTGCCATCCATTGACGGCAATCGAATGTGCAGGAAGGCAGCTTCCACACCTGCGTAGGATATCGCACCCATTCAACATACATGGGCCGGGACCAACGGCTTTACCAAAGATGAATACTAAGATGAAACTGTCGGAAGAAAAACTTTCAATTTTAGTGACCTCTTTCACGGTCCCTTTCATC